CAGAAGGAGAGCATGCAAACTCCATGCAGATAGTGACCTGACCGAGATTTGTACCAGGAACCTGCAAGGCAGAAGTGCTAACCACTACGCCACTGATTTCCCTATTATTCCTGTTCTGGTGGAAAATGTAAAATTTGGATTTCTCATCACTTTCTGTCCCAGTGACAGTGGTCAAAAGAACAAATAAAAAGGGGGTAAGTCTTAGTGGGGGTCTAATTCTTGCCCTCTGTATACAAAAGTAAAAATAAAAAAAGTTTTGACTTATACCTTCAATCCCGGGTGCTGCCCTCTGCTGGACATTGCAGGTGTAGCATGGACTCTTGTCATTTGACAGATGGAATATGTGAGACGCGATGACAGCATGATAACTACGCAATTAAACACAACAGTTACAATTGAAGAACATCTTTATCTTTCTTTAAGGAGAGGTTTTAAAACCGCAGCACCCTGGGGAAGACCCGGCTGTAAAGGAAACATTCTCTTGTGGTGACGGGGTTCCATGCCACTGATAGGCAGCTGCATTCTGCCTATCAGTGAATAGGGCTCGTTCACACCAGCAGATGTACCTTAAGATGGGCTTAATGCACACACTGATGTCCATTGTAATGCATTGTTACAACAATCACATTGTGTCCTTTAATACCTCCCATTTGAACTTCTGTTTAGTGCTGGTGTGCGCTGTGATGTTTGTTACAAGGCATTGCATTGCTTCCTTTTTTTAAAGTGACATTAAACTCAGGAGTGAAATCTTAAAATACATTCAAGTCCCTTAACTATTAACAAAAATGTATCTTATTTGTGTATCACTCAGCCTGGGGCGTAACTAGAAATCACAGGGCCCCATAGCCAAAGTTTGTATTGCTAGTTAAGGCACCTGCAGAGCCCACCTTATATACCAAACAGCCCACCTGAGAGTGACCCTGCAGAGCCCACCATAGACTCTCTATAGTGGGCTCTGCAGGGTTTCAGATGGGCTGCACACCTTTTACCTGTCAGCGCTGTCCGCCTCCGTGGTCGCCGGGCCCGCCTCCTCTTCCGTCCCTGGCCCCGCCTCCTCTTACATCACTGGCCCCACCTGCTCATAGGTAGCTGGCCAGTGATGTAAGAGGAGGCGGGGTTGCTCTTAGGCGGGCCCGCGTTCCTCCTTCGCTGCAAACGCTGGCCTCTTCTGTCGTAGCTGCTGGCTGTCACTGACACAGCTCCGCAGCGACTGTGAGGGGAAACGCCGCTGCTGAGCTGTGTCAGTGACAGCCAGCACCCTTACATGCCTTAGCGACCCAGGCGGTCCACACGCATCAGAGGGATGCCCTGGTCGTGCCCCCCTGTGCCCGGGCCACATAGGGGCCACCTGGGTCGCTATGGCGATTGTTACGTCACTGCACTCAGCTGTAGATCCTCAAATCATCTCTGAATTGGTGCGGACACTGTCCTTCCTTCTGGAGGGTGGGTCATTTTGTTCCCCATGGTCCCTGTGTGTGTTGTGAAGTGGCCACCGCTCCAAGCTCACTCCCGTAATGGACAATCTCACGTTTAGTTTATTAATTTGTATTGAGATTGTAGTCCATCACAGGAGTGAGCTTGCAATGGTGGCTACTTTACAAAACACACAGGGACCATGGGGAATAAAAGTAGCCCCCCTCCAGAAGGAAGGACAGTGTCAGCACCAATTCAGAGATGATTGGAGGATCTACAGCCGAGTGATACACAAATAAGATACATTTTCGCTAATCATAATAATCAGGGCTTAAAAAAATCCACTTGCGAGAGGATGCCGGAGCCGGATAAGTAGCTTCCGTTGTAATTAAACGGCCAGCTGGGAGCTTCTTGGATGGCGGTTTACATTCTCCCTCTGATCTCCTCTCCGGTCCCCGAATGATATATATATTACATCACTTCCGCATTCAACTGTCATTACCGGCTACAGAAGCTGGGGAGAAGCTGATGAATCAGATCTATGCTTCATCAGCTTCTCTGGGGGTCCCTAGGTGACATTAGGGGTCTTGGAGACCTCTAAAGTCTCCATAAAGAGGACCCGTTATGTACATTGGCTATCACATAGGGAGCTTCTTAGCCCCCTATGTGCGCAGACTGTGGAATGTCCCTTAGGCGACCTCACACCTAATGCAAGTCAATGGACCTACATAAGACCTGATGACGTGGCCCTGGGGACCGGTCTAGCAGCCCAGAGGGAGCCAGCGGGGCCAAGGATCAGGTAAGTAATACAGATTTATTTGACACCCCCCTACCCTTGCAGGGGTAACCCCACTGCAAGGGTAGTTTTTTGTTTGCCCGGAGTTCTTCTTTAAGGCAGACATGTAGTAAAAGTTCCCCTAGGGTTATTTAATAGTGATTGTTTGGTATACCTGTATGGGGGTATTCGGGATAGGTTTCAGATGACGGAACCATAAAGCAAGCACTTGTTTTTGATCATTTACCATTGTCATTTTTGCTGAGCATTACATCCATTGGGGGCAAATGGGCACATAAATGGAGACATGATTCAGACATTGTGTATACAATACAATCAGTAGAATAAGCTGCAAATACACCAGAGCTTCTCTTTAACGCATCTGCCAGCCATTGTGACAGCGTTCATCCACCACTCCCCCCCGCGTCTCCGTATTTTCACACCGACCGTGCGAGATGGAACACTCGCCATATTATAATATCTATATAAACACCCAAGAGGAAAGAGCCGCATAAAGCCGGAGCACCGGGAGAAGGGGGGATAAAATAAAATATTATTTCGGCTTGATGTGAAATATAATTATTTTGCTATTTGGTTCCATTTTAGAGGGAGACCGGCTCGCTATTTCCAGCGCTGGCCGCTGTCGAGGGGATAATATGATAATGTTTCGCTTGATGTGAATGTAATATATATTTATGATCCTGCTGCTTGTGTTGAAGCCATCCCTAGATCTTTATTATTTACTCTCTGCTGGGTTCACAGCCATTTCCTCCTGTTTGAAGTGTCCGCCGTATTCTGTGTCGTACGCCTTCGGAGCCACATTATTAGGTGGCCAGTAACAGGTTTATTATGAGTGTAGAGAAGATGGATGGATCAGCTTTGGATCATATTGTGTTGCCTCTGGTGCCATGATCATCCCGTGGTCGGTTACATATGAGGCTTTTATGACTGTTCTGTGCTGCAGGAGGACTCTGCTCTTCTAACTCCCCTCTCTTGAAATACTCTGTGATGCCTGAGGACTCTGCCCCTTCCACTATCCAACTCTCCTCTCCTAAAATACTCTGTGATGTTGGAGGACTCTGCTCCTTCTATCTAACTGCCCTCTTCTGAAATACTCTGTGATGTTGGAGGACTCTGCCCCTTCCACTATCCAACTCTCCTCTCCTAAAATACTCTGTGTTGTTGGAGGACTCTGCTCCTTCTATCTAACTGCCCTCTTCTGAAATACTCTGTGATGTTGGAGGACTCTGCTCCTTCTAAGGCCCCATTCACACCTGACCGTTTTGTAGCGCGTCCTACGCTCGATGAACGCTCTACAAAACGGTCAAAAAAATAAATAGCATTGTAGTCAATGGTATCGTTCCCACCTGTCCGTATTTCCGCCCGTCCCGAACGCACTACAAAACGGCCCACGCATGAAAAGGTCCCGGAGCGTTTTTTGCTGCGTATTGGTCCGTTTTGTAGGGCGTTTTCCATTTGTATACTGCCAAGTAGCCTTTGGAATCGCGCGACGGTCGCGCGACTTTTTTACCGCGAATCGCGGTAAAAAAAACGCGTGACGGTCGCGCGACAGACGCGCATATTACAATACGCATAGGTGTGAATGGGGCCTAACTCCCCTCTCCTGAAATACTCAGTGATCTTGGAGGACTCTGCTCCTTCCGCTATGCAACTCTCCTGTCCTGAAATACTCTGTGATGTTGGAGGACTCTGCTTCTCTTGAAATACTCTTTGACCACCTTCAGGAGGTGTATGCTGGGAGAAATCAACACACGTCTATTGAATGTGTTGAAAAGCTGTGAGAAAATAACTCTCGGAGAAAATAATTTTCTTGTAAATACAAAACACTTCTATGTCTCTCCATAGAATAGGTAGAGGGTCAATCAGCCTTTTATTACTACTGTCTGCCTCAGTCTCCGCAATCTCCATAGGATCCATAGTCATACATGCAGCAGTATGCCTCCAGGAGACCGCACCGGGGGTGTCCAGTTCCAAGGCTGGTCAGGTCACTATCTGCAAGGAGTTTGCATGTTCTTCCTGTGCTTGTGTGGGTTTCCTCCGCGTACTCCGGTTTCCTCCGACACTCCAAAGACATGCTGGAAGGTTGGTAGCAATTGTGAAACATGGAGCAGCTCTACCGTCATGTCTCCAATGTTGCCGCCGGAACCTAGGTGCCCGGTAAAGCTTCTGCCAGAGCCTTCACTCAACAGCAGGTAAAACCCCCTTACATGTAGTTTTTACCTAATGCTGGAAGGTTAATTGGCTCCTGTCTAAAGCTGCCCTGTATCTGTGCGTGAGATATGGACCAAAGATTGTAAGCTCCTTGAGGGTAGACACTGAGTGTCGGCGCTATATACATACCCGTAACCCAATGGCTACAATTCAGTCCTTCTCTTTGAACCTGATCTAGGTAGAGAACTCATTATTAGAGATGAGGTTGGGCTTGATGTGAACCCAGTTTGGCTCAGTTCGCCCAAGCCCACTCAAAACTAACCACCTTCTCCCGGCCCAATCAGTGGTGGCATTTGTGGTGGGAGCATTCCATGCCCCTTTGTGACGAAAAGCTGCAGGGAAGGGCATGCACCTCCCGCAACTGATTGGGTCGGGAGGAAGGGGCAGTGGTCAGAGTTTTGAGTGGGCTTGGGCGAACTGGGTTCACACCAAGACCAGCCTAATCACTACCTATGATATTGAAGCAAAAGTGTTACCAGACAGCCAGGAGAACTAGCATTTTCTGAACAAGGGGTCATCAATGGCAGACACGATTGCTCGTTTCCCTTTTATAACCGATCTCTTGTTTTCCTCCCCGCAGTCCGAGGTGTCGTGGATTCCAAACAAACATTACTCAGGAATATATGGGCTCATGAAGCTGGTGCTTACCAAGACTCTCCCAGGCAGCTTGGAGCGGGTCATCGTCCTGGACACGGATATCACCTTTGCCACGGACATCGCTGAGCTGTGGGCTGTCTTTCACAAGTTCAAAGGTCAGATAACTTTCTTTTTTTCTAATTTGCGGGTTTAAAACCGCAACTGTCGATCTGAGCACCCCGCTCTCTATCCATTTCTATAAGGGTATAATCTGATTGTACAATCCCTGTGCCGTCTCATTTAAATTTACCAAAACTATGTAATATGAGGGCCAACTCATGCAGTCCAATCAATTTCTATCCAATTGCACAGGCCCTTACATTACATAAATGTTGGTAGAGCTAAAGGAGATTGTACAATCAGACTTCCTAGTATATGGTCAGCAAAAGTGACACTAAACTCAGGAGAGAAATCTTAAAAATAAATTCAGATACCCCAACTATTAACAAAAAATGTATCTTATTTGTGTATCACTCGGCTGTAGATCCTCAAATCATCTCTGAATTGGTGCTGACACTGTACTTCCTTCTGGAGGGTGGCTACTTTTGTTCCCCATGGTCCCTGTGTGTGTTGTAAAGTAGCCACCGCTCCAAGCTCACTCCCTTGATGGACTACAATCTCAATACAAATTAGTAAATGAAATGTGAGATTGTAGTCCATCACAGGAGTGAGCTTGGAGTGGTGACTACTTTACAACACACACAGGGATCATGGGGAACAAAAGTAGCCCCCCTCCAGAAGAAAGGACAGTGTCAGTTTCCATTGAAGTCTAAGGGGGAAAATGAGCTGCAAACTTTTTTCTGTGTCTGATGTTTTGCTGCTCAGGTGTGAACACAGGCCATTGAAAATCATGGGAGTTCTTGTGTTGGGCATTTTGAGGAGCTTTTTGTACTGCTCAAAAACTAGGGATGCACCAATACCGTTTTTTCGGTATCGAGTACCAATATTTCCGCTAGCGGGGAGCCAGCTTCCTGGGCAATTAGGAAGCCGGGTGGCATGTCATTACCTGCTTGATTGCCGAGGAAGCCGGCTCCATGCTGCTCCATGCTGCTTCCTAGCCAATCATCATCGAGCTGAGGGCAGGCTCTATGAGAGTCATGACAGAAGGAAGTTCATATGCACAGGGCTGAGTGGAATGTTGTTAGTGCATTGAGGAAGTACATCCTATGGGCATCTTTAATACGTAAATTTACAAGCTTATAGATGGATATGGTTATTAGGAGCGGGATAGAACTTATGAAAATTCAATATAGACATTCAGATTTATTTTTCGTTTTTCACCATAGATTAGGGGTATAAGGTTAGGGGTTAGGAAAATACAGCTTTACACTTTATTGTAACTTGTTTTTATTATTGTAAGCCTCCTGTACCACTTCATGGTGTTGAGGAATGGGTTGAAACAAGGGGTGGGCAGTGGCAGAGGAAAACAATAGTGATTGGAGGTCTGCAATCACGTGGATCTATCAGTCACCAGGTATCCATCAGACCTGTAGGCATCAGACTTTCATTTGATGCAGCCAAAGCTGTCCATACTGGGGCACTGCCGTCTCAAGTTTGTGGGTCCCTTTCACAGCTCAGTCTGCCAATTAGAACGGCGAGGCACTTACAGACTTCCCGCTATTTAGTGGTGCTTAAAGGTTAGCGGCCCTCAAAGTCCAAAACACATGTTGAATGAGTCTTGTGGTGTTTTTTTCTCCATTTAAGTTGTAGCAATCATGTGTGGAGAAAGGTCAACACCTTTGCTGATTAGTGTTATCAGCATCTGCTCACAGCCCGGGAAAGGGCAGGAACTGACACTTCCTAATGAGCCATAAGAAGCATGATTCAGTGCCAAGATCGCCACTCACCTCCTGTTGTCAGTATTTTCTTCCACTTAAAGAATCAGTCCACCCAAAACTGACATTTTATTTTCTGACCATAGATACCCTTTAAACATTTTTATCTAGTTAAAGTGCACCTTTACCCCCTTTCACTAAAAATCACATCACCATGCAGCTACGTACCGATATTAAATCATCTTACATTTATAAGTTAATCAAACATTTTTGCCTTTAATTACATTTACTGTTTCCCCACTTCCTGGTTGAGTGAGGCACTGGTGATGTAGCCCGGTAGCCCTGGCCTCACAGATGCACCCTGGGAAGGTTACATCACCAGTGCCTATCTGGGAAATCTCAATTGCAAAATCTCATGGGGGGCATTTTTCCCCCTGAGATGATGTGCTCTGTCACGTGTTCCAGGAGGCGGACCCAGAGTTTAAGGAAGTAAAGGGAGATGGGTAATCTCCCCTTAATGAAAAGAATGGGGATGAGAAAGAAAAAATAAGGTATGCAAATATATATATATATAACATTTCTAAAGCTGCCTTTGTTGTCATTCTTAAGATAAGAATGAAGTTCCTCATTAATGATTCAATTGACAATATTTCTAATCCAATCTAGTAAACAAGACACAAAAAGCATAAGATGACCAATATTACCTTTACTTGCCAAAAAAAGCATCTTCTGTCCTCCTTTCTGATTTAGTTTTATTTTTTTTTACTATGGCTTAACCTTCACTGACTTCATGGTTGGGTTATACCAACTGCCCCTGCCACCCCCGTCTAAGAAGCCTATGCTCACCCACGCCCATGCTCGTCACTGAGGTCGGGTCCCTGTACAGTGAAATGCTGGTTGGGCAGGGCTTAGTTACAAAGTCAGGCAAAGTTAAGCTCCAGCAATAGAGTGGAATTGAATCAGAGAGGAGCTATCACGTTCCTGGCTGGAGACTGGTTGGATATGGAGGCTCCACTTGCATTTTGTGTCCCCCAAACTCTGAGGATGGGAACAGAGCCTGAGAAACAGCAAGTAGCACGGGTGCCAGTGGATGGGGCAACACCGTGCCAGGCAGAAGTCCAGAATCAGGATTGGGTAGAGCAGAGCCGAGGTAACACCAGGCGGACAGCAAGGTACCAGAGCAGTAGGCAGAATCAAGGTCAGACAAGACAGGGGTCACACCAGTCGGGCAGCGAAGTACAAGGGATGAGACAGAGGCAAGGTCCAGTTACAATTCCAAGGTCAGAAGGCAGGCAGAAATCAGGAGCAGTCAGGTTCAATCCGGTTCAAGATGCAGGAACATTAAACAGGCAGAGCAAACAGGATCACAGGGAACAGTTGAAAGACCATCCAGCAACTAACCCCAGGCTGTGCTTGCTTTAAATAGGGAGATTCATTAGAGGTACTGCATCACTTCCTGTGCGCCAGATTAGCGCGCCTGTCGCATACGTCCCGATGCGCGCAAGTGCCCGTTTTCCCATGGTACGAAAAACGGGACCACGCGCATGCGCAGTAGACCTGGTTACCTTACAGGAGCACAGAAGAGGCTTTTCAGGCTAAGAAGCATAGTAGATTGGATATCTGTAAAAACAAATCAAGGCAACTGGACTTGCTGCTTATTTCTCCAAGACGTTTCACTGCTCATCCGACCAGCTTTTCAATTCAAAATGATTGGTACAAAATCTCTGGGAATAAATACGGTGAATGTTGCTCCAATCAATTCACCCTATTTACTCCCAGAGAATTTTTGAAAGTCATTCTGAATTGAGAAAGCTGGTCGGATGTCCAGTGAAACGTCTTCAAGAAAAATACAGCAAGTCCAGTTGCCTTAAATTATTTTTAACAGATATACCATGACCTGGCTGAATGAGAATCGTCACAGACATATAGTAGATTGGATTTTCTGGTGATAGAGTTTTAACTTTGAGAAATTATTATGATACAGGATTTATATAGCGCCAACAGTTTGCGCAGCGCTTTACAATATAAGGAAGACATTACAATCGCAATACAATTCAAGACAAGATGCTAAGGAGGGCCCTGCCCCTGAGGGCTTACACTCTAAAAGGGAGGGAGAAATGTGAACATTTCATAAATGCATACGAGTAGCAGGTAGTAAAGTTTGCTAAAATCCATTTTGACTAACGGCTTTCATCAAGGGTTAAAGGCTGCTACAGGTCCCCAGCGGTTGCATCTTCTCCTGCCGGTCCCGGTGGCGTCATCTTGTTCTTCTATAGACTCCTTTTGACACCCGGCAGAACCCAGAGCAAACCATTGATGTCTGGATTCTGATGACCTCTTAGATGTTTATTTCTCCATCTGGGTATAAATCTTAAGTTTTCTAACTGTATTCTAGCTAAGTGTACTCATGAATTATTTATCCGCAAAGTGTTCTTTCACTGTATAAGCAGGACCATATTCCCTGACAAGGCTGCCCTTTACGGTGGTGGAGAATGCGCTTCCTGGGCTTCTCTGGTCTCACAAAAGGGGGTTAAAAATGTTGTTTTGCAGTCAAGCAGCATTACAAAGCATCCGTGCCTACCTCCGCTATGAACCGCTAAGGGGCAGCGTTCAGAACACGCACTTGGGGGGGCACTTGGAACCACATCTCTGGCTGGTAGAAACTAGCACTTCACAGAAGTTTCTATAACTTTCAGCAGAAGAAAAGAAAAAGGAGGTTTATATGGAAATACGTTGCCGAAGAATCCGAGCAGGAAGATAAAGCCGCTGAACTGATATGACCATTTCCCATAATCCTATCCTTCTGAGGCCGGACTGGGTATAAGCTCAAAGCAAACATTTTCACCAGCACAATCGTTTATTCACATGCGGACTAAAGTATCACAGGCCAACGTTTCAGGACTATACACAATTATTTTCTTAAAGAACTCCAGTAATTACAAAAGTTAACCCTCGCAGCGAGACTACCCCTGTACTGCAAGGGTTAACTGCTCATTTTTCTCTAGGGACCTGAATACAGATGATATTCTCACCTGATCCTCGGTCTCACAGCGGTCAGCGCTCACTCTGCTCCAGCTGTGGTATGTCCCTTGGCATCCTCACGTCTAATACAAGGCAATGGACCTGCACTGGAAGTGATGCCGTCACAGGTCCTTAGACCACCAGAACCTCAGGAAAAAGAGGCTTCAGAGACCGGACTAGCAGTCAGGAGGGATCGAGAATCAGGTGAGTATATCTTCTTTTATCCGGCCCCTAGACCAAAATGAGCAGTTAACCCTTGCATGGTGGGGATAGCCCAACAGCAAGGGTTAACTTTGTTCATTCCTGGAGTTGTTTTTTTT